GCCAATCAGGAAGCCGGCAGCGTGTAATGACTCACCGCCTAGCTTCCAGATTGGTCGGGAAGCCGAACAATCAGGAAGTGGGACGGTGAGTCATTACCCGCCCCCCGGCTTTCTGATTGGCCAGACAGCCTGCTTCTGCTCCCTTGTCACCAGGTGACGAGCGAGCATGGAGCTGGCTTCCCGGCCAATCAGGAAGCCAGGCAATGATTTATTACACGGCACCAGGTTTCCTGATTGGCCAGAAAGCCGGTTCCATGCTACAGCTCGCGGTATACTGAGACGCCGCATCCGGAGCGGATCCCGACATGGACGTCGGGATCCGCCCAGCTGCGTGAGTGACAGCTGGCTCTGCCTATCTAGAGGCAGAGCCAGCTGTACCCGCCCCGTCCGTTCCGCCAGTCAGCGCTAGCGGATCGCAGCAGGGAGGGGGAAATCCAGCCCATCCCCCTGTCACAGCAGAGAGCCGTGACAGGATCGAGAGGTGAGCGAACCCGGTATGTGTCCGCTCACCTCCCGATCTACTGAGCCGACCTGCCGACAGTCTCATTGTCACAGGTCGGCTAGAACTATGAGGTGAGTGGAAATCACTCATCTCATAGTTCTCCTTTAATCTGGAAGCCGGGTGGCGAGTCTTTACACGCCGCCCGGCTTCCCGGCTAATCAGGAAGCCAGGTGGCGAGTCATTACATGCCGCCTGGCTTCCTTATTGGGACTTCCGGTATCGGCATTCGGGAAAAAAAAATATTGGTACTCGATACCGAAAAAAAACGGTGTCGGTGCATCCCTAATATATACCCTTTAGTATAAACTGTAGTATACGCAGTATATTGTGCCACGTCTGCCGTTTATTCGTGGACTTGTAAAGATCCTGAAAGGCCCACTTCAAGAGTAATGCGCTCACGGGGTGGACAATACCCCCTCCAAGCAGTTATTAAACCGTTCAATCACTGCAGCCACTACACCGCTTAAAATAGTTCCTCTTCATTTATTAATGAAAGGTCGCCTTAAAATAGCGCACTTCACTTTTTAGTTAAATCTGCATGGAATTCAGCCAGCGGTTAACTATTTTATTCAAGGATGCCAAATGAAAACCATAAAATGGCTGCACATTGATAAAATACGTTATTATGTCATATAAATTATGAACTTGGAACGGTCATTTCTTCATCTCGTGATTATCTGAAGGCGTCAAGGCTCGCAAGATAAATAGCATTACACAAGTTTTCTTTATTCGGTAATACATGAAAAATGTGCTGACTTTGGGAAAGAAAAATGTTCAACGTACCCAGGCCAACCCCCCCCCCCCAAATCCAGCATTTGTAGGATAAAGAAATAAGACATTCTGGAAAGGATTCATGAATGATTGTCAATGGTACAATTCAATGAGCCGATGAACACTTGGCTGAGAGGTGGAAGCGTCGGCGAGTGGAGAACCGTGTTATTGGATCGTCGTGTGATGGAGATCCTCTACACTTGGCATCTTTTGATAATACCTGTTAAGAAGCTGAACTCCGGGATCAAATAAAGAATACCCCTTGCAATACCCAATAGCCCAGTGAACCAGGCCTATGGCGTCATGCCTACGTTTTATTCCTTGCTCTGGCATGCCTCTGGCGCTCACTTCTTCCTCCAGCACTCCAAATTGTGGCGGGCCCTCACCTTCCTCACACACAATGCACAGCTATTGGTCCTGTATTGTATGTGATGACTCCCTAGTGTGACCGCCGTCCGGATTGTCTTGAAGAAAAGGAATTAGGGGAACTTTCGCACAGGATAGAGCAGTGGTAGGCGACCTTGGCACTCCAGCTGTTGTCCCATGAGGCATTGCAAGACTCTGACAGCCACTGGCATGACTCGCAGAGGCATGATGGCTCATGTAGTTGTACCACAGCTGGAGTGTCAAGGTTGCCTACCCCTGGGATAGAGGAAGCCTGCCGAAGGGAGGAATAAGATAAGTATTACACCTTATCCCTTTACAACTAGACCCAATAAGTATTTAACTGGGAAAGGGAAGGGGATGGGGGCTCACTACAAGAGTATTTTTTGTCTGGTGTCCAGAGTTGGACTTTAACTTCTCATGATTTAGAGTGAGCCTGCCTGCCATCATAAGGTTCTGTCAATTAAAAGGCTGTGACCCTCTGATCTTAGCTTTACTTTGCTACTAAGGGATTGAATCCCGTCATTTGGGAAGAAGTCCCACCCACAAAAGGTGAGTCCCTGCACAATCCCACTGACCAAAGAGACCATGAATGATAACTGAGGCTCTGGATGGGGAAAGCCAGGTGGGCGAGGTTTAGCTCGAGGGATTAGAACACAAGGAAGGGAAGATGGATCTTTGGTAACAAAGTGAAACCAGGACCAGAGGGGAGCACAGAAAATATGTTAATAATAGTGGGCACCTTGTGCTATCCGATTCTAGGCAGGAATACTTTTAAAAGCTAGAAAAAAAATGGCTGTTGTCTTTAAAGAACAACTCCATGTAAACACTGGGTTTACTTATAAAACATGAGCCCAGTGTATAGCTGGAAGGATGCCGATGGACGGCACTAGCACCCCTAGATAGGAGGTACGGTATATGGGAAATTATATTCCTCAGCACCAGCTAGGGGAGCTATTGCCATGCAAACGGCATCCTCCCAGCTGTTCACCGGGGGCAAGTTTTATAACTAAACCCATTCATTTTCTTATACTTTCCTCTGAAAGGCCAGAAGATGTATTTTCTGTCAGTTCAGTGCTGCTACCATTGACCAGCTGTCTATATATGAATCAGTGGGCCACTGCCAAAGGGTTCAACTTACTTGCCTTCTGCTCTAACTAATCCAGTTGGAGCCAAACTCTGTCCAGCTGCCTTACCCAGTCCAATGAGAATGTTTCTGAATCCATTCCCTTCTTCACAGACTTTGAAAAGGGGTTGTCACTGTTGTTGTAGTGCTAGGTCACCATATAGCACAGCAAGGTATGGTAAACTGCAATAATATGTGCAATATTTTACAAGTAGAATAAAGGTTCCTACATATAGTTTTCCTGTGTATTTAAATATTTGCCCGGTGTTGTGTTGTGACAAAAAAAATCAACAGCATATAAATCAGTCGAGCATTCCACCAGAAGACCAGAAACTGACTGGAGGAGTAGGGCTGTGAAGCCACCGCACGATTTAGTCCCCTTTTAGGTGTTTTACAGCTTTAAATTTTACAAGTTCTGAATGACTCGACACTAGACATCTTCTTCGTACTTTGTTTTCGGACTCTGCTACAGCAAATACATGGCCGGACGGATCAAAGGTTTCACTTTAGTATTTTGGAGGTTCCCTTTCCTGCTTGAAGGAGAAGAAGCCAACTCTCCTTCTGCCTAAGTCAAGGTACGCAACCTTTGTGTCAGTGTCTATTCCATCGTAGGGTTGACTTCTTCATGTCAGAGTCCATGAGGATCGTTTTTGGGACTTCCCATGAGTTGGGAATGAGCAGCCCATCTTTTGGGAGTGAAGCAAAAGACTCCACCCGTTGGTTTCAGCTGTCAGTGTTGTTGGGCGAGTGGTGATTGGAAGGTCCGTTGGCTCGTTCTCTGAGTTCTGGTAGAGTAAGTGTGTCCGGGGCAGAGGTCTTGCGTGGTCTTTCTTTGGGCAGGGTGAGAAATTCTGGAGGTTCTCCGGTGATGGGGGTGGCGGGGGCGCTACGGATAGCTGGGCACTGGCTTTCTGCAGTAATGGTAATGGTTGGGGCAACTGGTCCTATTTTCTCATTGGTGGCGGCCTGTGTCTCCTTCTCGTACTCTCGAACCTCCTCCATGGTCATTCCTGTAGGGTGAAAACATGAGAGTTATTCATAGTAATGTTTATAGAGGGATTATATGTAAACCGTGGAGAATATTTCAACATGGCTGACTATGCACTACACATTTTACACCTGTGTCCATTTAGGTTGCTGCACTACTGGGGCTCTTTGCAGCTTTAAACCCCAACCCCCAAACCTCTCAGGTGGACAGGATCAAAATTGGGAATTATGGCAGAGAGATCTCACTGCTGGAGCATCCGAGACATAAAAGATGTCAGGAGCTTCATCGATAACATATCACTTTTGAATGGACTGAGCCTTTAAGCTCAGTGGACACAGCTTGCTCACTGGGGGGAAACTGCAGACAAGATGTTGTAGTTTTCAAAGAAATGTTGCCCAGTGTAGAATTATCTGATCAGAGCCTGAAATCCCACCCAGATATTCTGTTTTTTGCTCCCGCTAGCTGTTATTCTGATTTCTTGTGGTGGCTACATGTCCTGCTCTTCTGAGTTCATGTCCAACATACATTTCCTGTTCTTCTGTTTCCTTGTCCTCCCAAATGTACTGTTCTTCTGGATCCTCATCCTCCCTACATGTCCTCTACTTTTGGTTCCTCATCCTCCCTACAAGTCCTTTTCTTCTGGTTTCTTGTCCACCCCACAAGTCCTTTTCTTCTGGTTTCTTGTCCACCCTGCATGTCCTGTTCTTTTGGTTCCTCATCCTCCCTACAAGTCCTTTTCTTCTGGTTTCTTGTCCACCCTACATGTCCCATATTTTTGGTTCCTCATGCTCCCTACATGTCCTCTTCTTCTGATCCCTTGTCCTCCTTACACGTCCTATTATTCTGCTTCCTCATCCTCCCTTCATGTCCTGTTCTTTAGCATGGTATAACATTACACCCTGAGCACAGTCTGCATTGTTCCTAGAAATAGCCCCGTTGTTTTATTTCTACTGCCTTCTCTTTTATGATCTCTGTTATCAGGGCCGCTGTGTGTTTTCTTTAACTTTATTAAGTTGTTCTACATTGCTGCGTGTTCCTGTACTGCCTCCAAGGTATCATTGTGGTATTGATTCACCAGTCTGATCATTCTCCTGGCACCTGCAGGAAATCGGAACTGTGCTAAATATAAAACATCCTACGTAAAGCGGAAGGCGAGATGGGTCTCCGGGGCGCAGGCTCCAGTTTTATTTCCTCCAGCAAAAAATCGTGACGTGGCTTTGCACAGTTATCAGAGGAGGGTTGCTGATCTATAAAATGGCGCTCATAATCGGCTTCTACAAAAAAGTCCTGTATGGCCTGGCAGGGGATCACTGGTCTTGGCTAGGGGGCAATGTAGACATTTGCTCATCCCCTAAGACCAGTACTAATAGGATATGCTGGGCTGGTGACACTGAATGACGACATTGCACCATTCAGAGATTGATAAGGAGGACAGGGACACATGCTGGGCATTATTTGCCTATTGGCTATCTGTTTAGGTTGACATTTGGTATGGGAAGTCTTTTAGTACCTACGTTCTTGCGGAGATGTTGTAACCGCAAAGGATATCCGATGCTACAAGAAGTGAATGTGTGTCCCAATAGGAACCCTCAACCTTCACCATGCCCACCAATCACTGCGGCACCGGGCACACCTTGCATGGTTCGCTTTCTGTAGCCCAGAGAAATCTGTCTCTTCTGTGAAAAGGCCACTTGGTTGTGTTTGTCCCCCATAACAAAGATTCCCCAGTCCTTCCCTGCCCTCTGGTGGCTTTGATCTACAACCCTTCTGCAGATTTTATTCTGTCTCATTTCAAGAGCAAGTACAACACACCTCGGCCACGAAATCAGCAATTATCGTTCTGATAATTACAGCCATTTAAAGTGAACCTGTGAAGAGGGAAGTACGGGAGCTGCCATTGCTTTTTGTAAAAGTGCAATCTCCAAGGATGTCGCTTGAATCCTGGTTTTACTACATAGTAAGTCAGTGACCTGGAACAAGCCTGTAGATAATGAAGTCTGAAAGTCTGCATGCTTGTTAAAGGTTGGGGACTGTGAAGCCAGGATAACAGTCCGGGAGCCTGCAGGAGGAGGAACTGGATCCACAAGTGGATTGATATCACAATCAGGCTGTGATCTATATTGAAGAGCACAAGGACTCTTGTAGGCAGCTCAAAGACATGAAGAGGCCACTAGGTGGTGCTTCAGATGAACTCCAAGAGGTGCAAGAAAAACAGGAGTGCCAGCTCGTATATTATGGAAAGACCATGTAGAGTTTATTTAATTGTAAACCATCAATAGGATAAGCCAGTGCAAACCCTTACAATGCAATAAAATTTTACATGGTCTCTCAACATATGGGTTGGCCCGAATGGCTTTGCAGCCCGCGTTGTGGTAACATGCACATTACTGCAATGCACCAAAGCAGGGCGGAGGTGTAGGCAGAAGAGGCAACCTCTTTGGGCCATTCAATAGGAGAGGGATGCAAAAAGGGCAGAACCAGCAACCTATGCTGCTAAAGTGGCTCACAGCTCTTGGTGGTGGGGTCCACCACTTTCATCTTTTTGACTTAGGATGCTAAAGGACCTTGTCCCAGGTCTGTAGGCGAGACCTGCATGGCAGATAAAAGTCTGTTTTCGGCCTAAATGGTCAGTTCACACAGAACGGATATTTCAGCATTTTGGTAGAGAGGTAATGTATTTTACAATCCAAAGTTCCCTGGTCTGCTCGCTTGCCATGCCAATTGCATGAGGTCTCGCTGTCTTTGCTGGACACCCAAAACTCCAAGGTGGCAGGGAGATCATGCCTCCCCACCCCGAAAAGTTGTAAGAAGATGACTCAACTTCACCATTCTCGATCAGTAGCTGAAATGTGGCTTTTGGGCACACCAATCCCTTCATTTTACTAAGAATTATGCTGAGTAGGTCTCCAGCAAAACCTGCTGACTACAAGTGAAAATGGTGAGAAAACCTTCTCAGTGCCGGATACACAAAGGTGAAAAAAACTAGTGAAGTCTTAGCCCTGGTTCACACCTAGGCGTATTGCATATGCGCGTCTGTCGCGCGCTTTTTTTACCGCGATTCGCGGTAAAAAAAATCGCGCGACAAACGCGCGTTTCCGAGGGCTACTTGGCTGTATCCCAATGGAAACGCGCAACAAAAATGGCCCAAAGTAGTACATGTACCTTTTCAGGCGTGGGCTGTTTTGTAGCGCGTTAGGGACGGGCTGAAATACGCCAAGGTGTGAACCAGACCCATTGAATACAATGGGATTTAGATGTTTGAGCGTTTTGTAGAGCTTGTAGAGCGTTCGTCGAGCGTAGAACGCGCTACAAAACGTTCAGGTGTGAACGAGGGCTTAGTTCTCATGCAGATGTCTGTATAGCATTCAGAGCTGTAATGAGTCACTTACCATACCACTCGTCCACCCATGCAAAGGCTTGCTGGTGGCCAACGATCAGCAGGTCCCGAATAACCTAATACAGAGAAAAAGATTTCAGAAGGCTTCACAACACTCAATTTGCATTGACTCTTAAAGTACATCTAAAAATGTCCATGAATTTGGCATTTGATGGAGCAACCCAACTTCTGAATCCATGTTTATGTTGGAATCACCAAACAGCCCAACACATAAAATGGTGGCTTTGACTGGTCATAAGGAGATAGGCTTGAACTAGCCCAGATTGAACACATTGAATAAATCATATATCACTTCCAAGGAAATATCTGCCATTTTTTCTTGTTTCACTTCCATTTCAATTCAATCTTCCCAAAATTTGTATTGAAGCCTTCAATTTATTGCCCAGTTTTGACCAAATTATGGAGGTCAATCAAACTCGTGGGTGGTAGGTTGCTTCATTTCTGGCATTTACTTGCCATCATATTTGTAAGTGGTTCATATTGACTTAAAGAAGAACCCAAGGCAATCAAACAAAACCTGCTGACTACAAGTGAAAATGGTGAGAAAACCTTCTCAGTGCCGGATACACAAAGGTGAAAAAAACTAGTGAAGTCTTAGCCCTGGTTCACACCTAGGCGTATTGCATATGCGCGTCTGTCGCGCGCTTTTTTTACCGCGATTCGCGGTAAAAAAAATCGCGCGACAAACGCGCGTTTCCGAGGGCTACTTGGCTGTATCCCAATGGAAACGCGCAACAAAAATGGCCCAAAGTAGTACATGTACCTTTTCAGGCGTGGGCTGTTTTGTAGCGCGTTAGGGACGGGCTGAAATACGCCAAGGTGTGAACCAGACCCATTGAATACAATGGGATTTAGATGTTTGAGCGTTTTGTAGAGCTTGTAGAGCGTTCGTCGAGCGTAGAACGCGCTACAAAACGTTCAGGTGTGAACGAGGGCTTAGTTCTCATGCAGATGTCTGTATAGCATTCAGAGCTGTAATGAGTCACTTACCATACCACTCGTCCACCCATGCAAAGGCTTGCTGGTGGCCAACGATCAGCAGGTCCCGAATAACCTAATACAGAGAAAAAGATTTCAGAAGGCTTCACAACACTCAATTTGCATTGACTCTTAAAGTACATCTAAAAATGTCCATGAATTTGGCATTTGATGGAGCAACCCAACTTCTGAATCCATGTTTATGTTGGAATCACCAAACAGCCCAACACATAAAATGGTGGCTTTGACTGGTCATAAGGAGATAGGCTTGAACTAGCCCAGATTGAACACATTGAATAAATCATATATCACTTCCAAGGAAATATCTGCCATTTTTTCTTGTTTCACTTCCATTTCAATTCAATCTTCCCAAAATTTGTATTGAAGCCTTCAATTTATTGCCCAGTTTTGACCAAATTATGGAGGTCAATCAAACTCGTGGGTGGTAGGTTGCTTCATTTCTGGCATTTACTTGCCATCATATTTGTAAGTGGTTCATATTGACTTAAAGAAGAACCCAAGGCAATCAAAAAAATTAACCCTTGAAGTGGGGCTACCCCCGTACTGCAAGGGATCAGTGCTCATTTTGATCTAGAGGCTAGAATAACCTGATCCTTGTTCCTTGTTCCATTCACCTCTCTCCCCCTCTTCTCTGGCGATAGTAAGTTCCTAGGTGTCTTCATGTCTAATGTAGTTGCAATAGATGTGATGACATCAAGGGTCCTTAGACTGCCAGAGGTCAGGGGAGAATATGCTATGGGGACCGGTCTAGCAGCCAAGTGGGACCGAGAATCAAGTGAGTACATTTTCTTTATTATAGCCCCTACACCGAAACGAGCAGTTAAGCCTTGCAGCGCGGGGGTAGCCCTACTGCAAGGGTTAATTCTTCATTTACCTGGAGTTCTTCTTTAGCCCTCATTCACACGAGAAACAGGCGGCCCGTACAGATCAATGCTGCATGCAGGGCCGTATCAGGCAGCTCCCGGGAAGGACAGGTGCTGCGTGTGATTAGTATGCAGCCCCCGTCCTTCTCTATGGGAGTACGCGGCCATGCGCTGCCCTACGCTCACCCGACCTGCACGTCCGCGTGGGTGCAGGTGTCCGTACTTGTACGCTGACAAGATGGATCCTGTCTGCGTCCAAGCCGGGACACCCGCACCCAAACGGACGGGCAGGTTGGGCGAGCGTAGGGCAGCGCACGGCCACGTACTCCCGTAGAGAAGAACAGGCTGCTGCGTACTAATCACACGCAGCACCTGTCCTTCCGGGGAGCCGCCTGATACGGCCCTGCATGCAGCATTGATCTGTACGGGCCGACCATTTCTCATGTGAATGAGGGCTTACCACGTCACCACGTGCATGTCCAGCCTAACGCTCTGGATACCTTTTAAAGTGGAACTCCAAGCATGTCACCTGCCAAAAGGATCAACAGGTATTTTTTTTATATTCTAAGAAAATGTACTTGGCCTTCAAAAAAAAGAAACCTAATGCATCCACATCACCTAAGGGCTGGTTAGCTGCAATAGATTTCATTTTTGTTCAGATACATTTTAATGACCCACACATAGGAGAAAAAAAAAACCCCATGCCACATGACAAGGACCACACGAAACCTTCACCCACCTTGTGCACAAAATGCTCGACACGTGTCTGAAGGCCCCACACCTCGAACTTGACATTAACCAATTTGTAGGAGCACATAATGGGCTTTGACTGGCACCTCCAGCCCTCCTGAAGAGGCCCTCGGCCCGTCTTGCTGGAGACAAAATGCCTCAAATCCTGCAATAGAGAGGAGAAGAATCAAGCCGTCCCTTTGTGTCAGCCTGACATTGCAGGCCTCGCTCTTCAGACATTTCCTGAATATGAATTAGAATTAAATTAGAAAAAGATGGAGCGCTGATAGCGGGAAAGAGCGCGCCGAAGGGTCTGGTAATGAACTCTTCTGAGAAGAAAGCCTTTTTTTCCCCCCAGAATCCTCTCCTGAATCTCTTTGTGTTATAGTTTTCAGGGTGGTTTAATAAGCTGTAAGGCCACGTCAGAACGGTCCACCACAAAAGCAGAAAATTAATTTTACTTATCTGGCGACAGTGGTGCGAGATCTGATGGACTGTCATGGTTGCTGCCCTCTGCTCAATATCATTGCACTTTAACCTGACTTACTATAGAGCGCCCATGGTGAAATCAATTGGTTAAACACCAAGGCCAGGCTGGAATCTATCCCTGAGCCACAATGCGAAAGCCCACATTAGGCTTATAGAGACCCTGCCGTGTCTCTACAGACATCAAACCAGCACTCCCCTGCAATAGAAGAGGTATATAGTCTCTTCTCTGGTGTCTTCTTCCTCATGTCCATTCTAGTGTTGTAGCCTCTGTCAGTCAGTCTAGCACATGACGCTTCCGGGAGTGTTGGATGCTTGTGTCCCCCCATGGTATCACTACAGGGCTCAGGAGTGAGGTGGGGGTTGGAGGAAGGGAGCGTGGTGGGGACATGAACATCCAACATGCCTGGAAGTGTCAAATGCCAAAGAGATTGAAGTGTTCTGGTTCCTTCCTATGATCCCTACACCACTACAGAACTCAGCAGTGAGGTGGGGGTCAGAGGAAGGGACCACTGTGTGTGGTGGGGACACAGGTATCCGACACTCCTAGAAGAGTCAAATGCCAGAGATCGCAGTGTTCTGGTTCCTTCCTGTGATCCCTACACTACTACAGCACTCAGCAGTGAGGTGGAGGTTGGAGGAAGGGACCACAGAACGTGGTGGGGGCATGAACATCCAACATGCCTGGAAGTGTCAAATGCCAAAGAGATTGAAGTGTTCTGGTTCCTTCCTATGATCCCTACACCACTACAGAACTCAGCAGTGAGGTGGGGGTCGGAGGAAGGGATCACGGTGTGTGGAGTGGACACAGACATCAGACACACCTAGAAGTGTCAAATGCCAGAGATCGCAGTGTTCTGGTACCTTCCTGTGATCCCTACAGCACTCAGCAGTGAGGTGGGGGTCGCAGGAAGAAACCACGGCACGTGGCGGTGACACAGCCATCTGACACCCCTGGAAGTGTTGAATGCTGAAGAGTTTGACGTGGGGGTCGGATGAAGGGACCACGGTGCGTGGCGGGGACACAGGAATCTGACACTCCTGGAAATGTTAAATGCCAAAGTGATTGATGTGCTGTGCTTCCTTACTGTAATCCCTATATGAGTACAGGACTCAGAAGTGAGGTGGGAGTCGGAGAAAAGGAACATTGTACGTGGCGGGGACACAGACACCCAAAACACCCGGAAGTTGCTGATTGGTTTGATTTATTTAACTATTGCACCTCTGCCAGTGTCTCCGGTGTAAATCTAACTGATTTGTGGGCAACGTTCCCTATAATCCCTTGTAGCCAGGGCTGCCTCAGTGACTGGAGATGAGCTGACAACCTCTTACCAGTCATGATGTGTTGTACAAGATTTCTACCTGAGAACTGGGGAGTCCGATTACAGAGCTGGGAGTTACTGGCAAGGGGCTGCAGTCCTGGAGATGCACCTCATATAAGCTACATTGTGACAGGTTCTCTTTTTTTATTGCCACCCACCCCATGGTCTTATACATATTTGCTACATTATGACAGGTTCTCTTTTTTTGCTCCCACCCACCTCGGAACTCTTGTAGTATCTCTCCGGGATCTCGTCGTACGCGATGTCCAGATGGGTCACTTCATGGGAATCTTCTGCCGAGTCCGAAGGAAAGATCTGTAAGAGAATGCTCGGTGTCAGTCCCCTGAGATCTTCCATTTCCAAGGGGGGGAAATCACAGAACAATCCCAATAGAATCCCTGATAAGTAAAGGGGGCCTCCAGACAGAACTTTATTTTAGTTGTCAGCTGTGGTGCAGTGCTCATGCACTAGCAAGAAACACTCTGATTTGGGGAGAGAACAGAGTGACAGAGAGATGAGCTCATCACTGTGCTACTTCTCCGTTCACTGTCCCATCACACTCTGGGGGAGGACAAGACCTGGAAGTGTTACTGAACTGCAGCGGAGAAAAATCAGGTCTCTTCTCCTGCCAGACAGGGCTGTGCTGTGTGGCAGAGGTGTGCAACTCTCAGAACTGGATGGACAAAAGTACAACTCCAGGTAGAGCAGCTCCCTTATGTGTATTGTCTCTGTGAACCCGACTTACACTGTCGTTGTCACCGCAGTCATCAGAATACCTCGTCTCGATGTGGATGGAGAACTTCGGGAGGAAGGAGCACTGCATTGTGGGGGGAAAAAAATGTTCTATTAGCCATGACCAGCAGCGTACCATGAGACGCACAAATCACAACATGAAAACATCTGATTTATGGGGGGAGGGATGGGGGGGAGCTGGGAAGGTCCATCTTCAGGCTCGGCCAGGGAGCGTCAGGCAGAGCCGCGACTCCTCACACATACAATCCTGCAGCCACCAAATCACACATTGTATGCAGGAAAGATCTGCCCCCCTCTCTCTTCTCCCCGCCCCCTCTCTCTCTTCTCACTCCCCTCTCTATCTCTCTCTTCTCCCTCCCCTCTCTCTTCTTCCTCCCCTCTTCCTCTCTCCCCCCC